AGTCCCCTACCCAAAATCATAAATTGGTTAGCATCAGAAAAACAGAGAATTTAGGAAAGTGATTATACAAAACAAACGCTATTTTACAACTTTCCTCTTAACATAAGAGCAAAATGCAATTTCAGGGCCACCAACCCTGTTCTGAATTGTGACCTCCTGTGCTTGGAACGAGTTGCAGATTCTCTTAATATTCATCAGCAGAGTTACAACTTGGTCACAGTGCCATCCTTGCCCTAGAGGTAGGATCATTGCAGGCAACTTTTCGGCTAGCATGCCAGCAGCCATCTCTGGTCTGGATGCTGTGATGGAAGATTAGTGAAAGCGTCATTGACAATTGGTGCAGTCTCGGTAAACTCCAAAGCCACGCAATACCCCTGGAGTTCTGTTGCATCATTGTATCTTCGATCAATCAGGTCAGATTAGCCTTGTGTACACGAGGAATACATGAGAATGACTGTAAAGTGTTCGAGGCAGCATGCGTGCTTCAATGCCTGCCAATTTCCTGTAATCAAACATCACATACTCAAAATGTCTCTTCTGTAACATTGTGCTGCCTTGACATCTTCTTGTGATTATAATAATATTGATTAATATTATTGATTACGAAAAGTAAAATATTATCAATTGTAATTACCCAGCAAGATCTGCTCCGCGTTTTGATTTCCAATTAAAATATTTATATAATAAAATAAAAAATATCAATACAAATAAAAAAAAGTACCTCTGGTTAGTTATTAACACGTATTCTTTAGGAGAACTGAACAACAATGCTCACGTTTTGTCACCTTGGACTCTGTCAAAAAATAAATTGTTTTTCCCAAAAAAAAAAAAAAATCAAAAAAAAAAACAATTTGCGTCTGTCCTACCAAAAAAACCATAATTAGCGTGTACATGTCAATCAAATCATAAACTTCTTTTATTAAAATGCCACGCGTAAAAAGAAGACAACAACTAGAAGCAGAAGAAATTTATAGGTAAGTGTTTTAAGGATGGTGTTGGTGGTTATCGCCTGCCATTCATCGTCACTCTAGTTATTTATTTATGAACTGTTTTTTATTTAATTAGTGGTGTTGAACGTCAGGCGATTCCGCCTGAACTTCTCATTGAAATATTCAAATATATTGAAGATGACTATAAAATATTATATTCTTGCATACTTGTCAACAGACAATGGCACAATATCAATATTTCATCTTTATGGAAAGATCCATTTGTTTGTAAAGATAGCACCAAAATATTGATTAATTGTGTATTAGAAGAAGACAAGGATTTCTTAACTAGAAATGGCATTAAATTAACTTTTGAACTATTGGAGAAACCACCATTATACAATTATGCCAGATTTTGTACTACAATATTTTTCAACTACTATGATCTTCGATTCCTGATAAAAAATAAAGAATTATATCAAATTTTACAAAATAAATTAGTAAATTTTATTTTAGATCACTCAGCAGGTATTAGAAAGTTTGATTCTTGTTATGTAGATTGTGATTTATTAATTAATCATCATAGATTTGATAATTGTTTTCAGAATCTTTGTGAAATAGATTATGATAGTACTGATAGTGATGAATTTTTTGATAAATTAGCAAAAATTTGTAAAAATATTCAATCATTAGGATTATATTGTGAAAATGATGACAAAAACATACATAATTTAGCACAGCTAATTAAAACACAAGATCAAATTAAATATTTAACTATTAAAACAGAAATTTTATCAGATGAATTAAAAAAAGCAATATTAACACATTCACAATCAATAATTTTTTATGAATCTTATGGAAATGAAGATAATTTTAGTAATTTATTATTACCAACTCTCAAAAATTTAAAAACTTTAGAGTTAACAATTAATATTAATATAAACTGGAAAAATATTTCATTGCAAAATATTGAATCTGTGAAAATATATTTTGATTGTCAACAAGATATATCAAACTTTTTGGATTTTATTAATATCAATGGAAAAAATCTTAAAAATCTGAATGTTGGTGGTTATACTGATGGATCCTTGAGAGCTCTATTTCAATCAATTGCACAAAATTGTAAAAATTTAAAAGATTTATCTATATTATATGAGGATGAATTAGATCAGGAATTAATGGAAGTACTTAATAATTGCATTAAATTAAAAAATATTAGATTTGATAAACTTTCTAAAGATATATTAGATTGTGATAAAATATTGACAGCATTAAATGAAACATTACCAGGAAATTTAAAATCAATAACCTTTGCTTGTAAAGTTTACAATATTAGTAACCATTCTTTGGACATTCTAATGAAGAATTGGAGAGGACCCAAACCTTTAACAATAGGATTTGATAATTATAATAAATATGAAAGCGGTGGAAGAAAAATATTAAAAAAATATCAAGATTTAGGGTTCTTAATAATTGATAATATTTAAAATCATTTTGTTATTATAGGAGTTATCAGTGGAGAATAGTCTGAAGATTTCAATCTTACATAATTTTATTATTATCTATGTGTTTGTTATTCTTTATTATAACATAATAAATATATTTTATTATTTCATGCTATATATATGATATTATGATAAATTACATCTGATGGTCATTTAGGATTTGCTGTTATTGATGGTAAAAAAAAGTTGGCCAACATTAGCATTAATTAATATTGAAGATGATTAGTGGTAGGAAATGGTTTTTGTCAAATGTAAATTACAATCTTGATGGTTATTTTCTTATAAAAAGTGTTGGAACCCCTTGATTCTGAATATAATATCTAATCATAAAGCTCATTGTCAAATTCGTGTTGCATTTGAGGTGGGGACTCAAAATCTTATTATATTGATCATGTGTAAGTTTTTTATACAACCATGGCTCTTGATTATGTTGTATGGTGTGAGACGCCTAGTCCCACAACTTTTTATTGGCCTTGTATATCCTTCTCTAACTCCAAAAATGTAAATGTAACACCAAAAAAATAAGTCGTGATTTTGAAGCTAAGACTTTCTCTACAAAGTTACCATTTCATTTTGTTGATATGTCACAGCATTGCAGAGTTAGAAGGGCTCAAAGTTGCACAAGTTTACTATGTTCATGAGGAAATGCTGCCATGATCGTTACTAAATTTAGACTAGCCTGGGATAATCATTTCTAAATTTAGCAGTAACGAAA